GAAGAAAAAAGAGATACCACAATGAGTTGAAATTAAAAGAGATAAAGAGAAGTTTAAAAACAAAGAGGTCAGGTCGTTCTATCAAGAAGTTAAAAAGATGGGAAAAGGTTACCAAAGCCACTGTAGTTATATGAAAGGTAAAGACGGAAATTTAATTATAGCGATCCGGTAGAAATAATGACGGAATGGAAAAAACATTTTGAAGAACTATTAAATGGTGAGGTGGACCACGAAGCAGTAGACAACTGGACGCTTGGAGGAGATGCGATAGTTGAAAGGCAGCCTACAGAGGAGGAGGTGGTGACAGCAATACATGAAATGAAAAATAACAGAAGTCCTGGTAAAAGTGACATATGCATAGAAATGATCAAGTTTGGTGGAGAACAACTACAAAGAAAAATATATCAGCTACTAGTGCAAGTATGGGAAAAGGAAATAATGCCATCGAGGTGGTATGAAGCCCGCATATGCCCTCTGCATAAAAAAGGAGACAAACTAAAGTGTGACAACTGTAGAGGTATAGCCTTTCTAGACACGGTATACAAAATCTTGGCAAGAATATTGAGAAATAAACTAAATTGCCACACGAAAAGAATCCTACATGAGTATCAGACCGGCTTTAGAAGGGACAGATCTACTGTAGACCAAATCTTTTCAGAATAATTCTTCTCTTCTTTTTAGACAAGCATATGATAGAGTCGATAGAGTCAAAATGTATTGAGCAATGGAACATTTGGGTATACCAAAGAAACTGATCCGGCTAGTAAAAATAACATTAAATAACTCTAAGTGTGAAATTATGTGGAAAAGTCACATATCAGATCAATTTACGATTGCAAACGGCTTGAGACACTGAGATCCTTTATCCACTACATTATTCAACTTAGTGTTAGAAACTGTAATCAGAAAAAGCAACATGAAGGTGGAAGAAACAATCATGAAAAATGAGCACCAGTGCTTGGCATTTGCTGACGATTTAAAGATCCTAGCAAAAACCGAGAAAGAATTAAGAAGAGTTGTAAAGAAAATCATCGAAGAAGCACAAAAATTCGGATTGGAACTAAATGAAGACAAAACTAAATATATGATCATGGGAGGAACAGAAGGGAAAAAAGAAGACTTTAGTGTGAGGTCTGTAAGTGGTAAGAGCTATAGTTTTAAAAGGGTAGGACAAATTTGAATAATTGGGTGTAGTTTTCGATGAAAATGGAAAAGAGGAATGGGAACTGGAAGCCAGAATAGCAAAAGGGAATAAAAAATTAGTTAGTTTGAGAGCCCTACTGAACTCAAAATACGTTTCTAGACAAGGTAAACTCAGAATATACAAAACAATAATTCGAGTCACAGTAACATACGCCGGTAAGACATGGATATTCGGAGACTGAGACGCATATTCGGAGGACGAAAGACAGAAGATGATTGGGAGAGAAAAACCAACAATGAATTATTTGCTTTATACAATGAACCTACCATTACCAAGCTCGTCAAGTCACAAAGAATCAGATGGTTGGGACATATGGAAAGAATGGAAGCAAACAGAATGCCCAAACTAGTAATAACCAGAAAACTAATCGGCCCCAAAAGAAGAGGTAGACCCAGAACGAGGTGGATTAATAAAGTGTAGGAAGACTTAAACACGTGAAGGTGAGGGACTGGAAAAGAAAAGCACAAAATAGAAGCGAATGGAGAAAAAATATTGTCCACCAGGTCCTTCAGAGTAGTTAAGAATGTTGTATATACATATTTAAGTTAAATTTTTGTTTAAAATAATTGTAATTAGTTAATATTAGAACTATGTTTAAAAAAATGCCCTAGGCCTTAACGGCCTGTTGTGCGTAAAAATAAAAAAAAAATCCTGTTCCCGTAAACTGTTGAACTGGCAAATTGTTATAACTAGCATATTCATATTTCTGTACATTTAATGACTTCGGTAAAATTTTCTTAGCTGTTTAATTTTTTTCTTTAGTACTGTCATCTATATAGCATCTACTGTCATCTAGTAACTGTCGGACTCTTCCGTACTCCTTGTACTTTCATCGTAGGATTTCACCTCCAACATTAGTTAATCAATAAATTTCAATTATCTACATAGTAGGAGCTATGACGTATCGTTTATGTAAAATAATTACATGATGTAAATTCCAATTTTAACACATTTACCTATGTAAAAATTTTCTAATCAGTATAATGTAGGATCTAAACCTCCGAGATGTTGAATCGGGTTTATTTCCTAACGTAGTGAAAAAAAAAATGTATTACCATAGTTGTAGTTATTAACATAGTAGGTAGATATCTTTATTTTTATTTATTTTTTTTTTATTTGTAAGATGTATACACTATGAATTTCTGACGGCGTCTCTCAATAACTAAATTATAATAAAGGTATGATATAGTATTTATTAACATAGTATGTACATTAGCTTAGCTGTTATTATTATTATATTAATCATGTTTCACTAATTGACATACAATTTAAATTCTTTAACAAAACTTATGTTGATGGAGACTGGCTGAATGACAATTGTCCAAGCAAAGGAAAAAAACAAGTTACCTACCTTGATATGTAATTTACCTTACGTAAACGTAATTTTTATCCTGTTTAAAATTACATGCCGCTTTCGCTCTTATTTAGGTTATGTTGTTTTATGTTATTTGTGAAAACATTTTTTATTTGTTTATAATTATAATACTAAGGGCCTGCGTAGCGCAAGCGGTAGTGTGCTTGCCTCGCATTCCGGTGGTCGTGAGTTCGAATCCTACCGCCGGCAAGAACAACTAGGCATTTTTAAAATGTCTATAGGCCCCAGGTCGACTCAGCCTGAATAAAATGAGTACCTTGGGTAAAACCAGGGGTAATAATAGGCGGTTGAAGCGTAGCACTGGCCATGTTACCTTCCTTGTATACCGTAGGCCCTAGATATAGCAGACTACCCTGCTATACTCCCAAAGCCGCGTGCGGTATAAAACGGGAGACTATTATTATTATAATTATAATACTATAAAATAAAGGCTTCAAATAAACAGAAAGCAATCAGAAAACAATTATAGATTATGTTAGACTTGATAAAAATAAATAGTGCTTACTGGCAAAAGGGAGACTGAGAAAGTAGCCCTGTTGTGGCAGGCATTTGCTGTCATAGTAAATACAGTAGATGATGGCCCTAAAAAAACAGGGGAACAATGGAGACATGTAAGAAAACTGTAATTTCTGTTACTATCAAATTTAACGAATGCTTAATTTGAGATGATCAATCAGTGGAAGATTTTGCAAATCATTTCAAAGATTCATCTTAAGGAGCGGGTGATTATAGATACATTTGATTTTACAGGTATAAATGTCATTAATGAATGATGTATTATGTTTATTATAGTGTATAATATATTTCAGAAGCAAAAGAAAGTCATCCTGGGAAAATCCAAAGGGCAATATTTTTATTAAACATTCTATAATTATATTAATTATAAAATTATATCTAGATTATGAAAAAAACTGAATATAAACATTTTTATTTAACAAGTTTATATCAGAAAGTTTGTAGCAATAACATTTCTTCGTATTTTCTGAGGGTTTTGAAACTTTTGGGCCACTTTGTAATATGTTTTAGTTTTATGTTAGATTTTTTTACATACGTTATGTTTATTATAATATTTTATTTATTAATATTTTTATTTAACAATATATAAATATATTTAAATATATTTATTATAGAATTATATGAACCAACTACTATGATATAACCCTACTTATACACTTTTTTATTTCATAACACAAAGTTTACAGTAAAAGCATTTCTTCGTATTCTCTGCACTTCTGACATCCATCCATTTCTTAATATTTTTCTGAAGCTATTCTTGTGGCATATTAAAGTAATTACTATTTTAATGGGAATAAGCCTTAATTAAAGTTTAAAATAAGTTTATTGACATTTCAATTTCCACTTTGGAAATCGTTCTCAAAATACAAAGATTAATAATTATAATCCATCCATTGTTTTTAGCTTATATTTATATTTATTGCTTATTTGGAATCATTTCCATTGGAACTTCAGGAAGTTCTTTATCTTCTTCATTATCTAAAGGAGAAAGATGTTTTTTCATAACCATATTGTGTAATGCAACACAGAAATATACAATCTTTCTAGCTTTTACAGGGCTGTATAAACAACAAAAGTGGGATTTCAACATTCTGAAAGCTTTCTCAATCACATTCCTGGTTGCAATATGATATTCCTGGAGCATGGTTGAATCTTGCTTTTGATGTACTTTCTCCAGCATTTGAAACAGGAGTCAATTGCCATGGTTGTACTGGATAATCTGAATCTCCAATTAAACAGGCATTATTAAGTTCATATATCACAAATCCAATTATTTCATTGCAATTTAAAAATATAGAATTGGTATCACAAATTACTTGCACATTTATACTTTAAAATCCTTTTCTGTTGAAGTATGTCAGGCCACGTCTAATCAGATTATCAGGAAAAGGTGCTATAATTGCAATATGTGTGCAATCAATTGTTCTAATTACACCATTATGTCCACCAAATCTCATAAAAGTAATTTACAAATTTACAAAATCCATTTTTTTAAACACAAACAAATAAAACAAACACAAAGCCATAATTTAGGTTAATTTGAATTAACTTACAGATCTTGAGGATATGACAGAACTGTAAATAAAATTTTATGTACTTTTCTGCTGTGGCTTGGTCATTTTATGCATAGCAACGCAATACCTGATACATTTAAGAACTGTAATCTGATGTAGTTTTCTCAATTTTACGCTTGTATGTAATTATTTACTTAAATGGCACTTCATAACCCCTAAATATTTGGAAGCAGTTGTATTGACGGCGCGCCAAGATTAGGGCGATAAAGTTATGGTCTTTAATAAACATCAACTGGTTGTTGTCGTTTCATGTAAACACTACTCATTTGTTGAGGTCATTGTGGAAAAATATTTTATCCAGTAATATATAAAGGTATTAAAGAAATAATCAGTCTATTTTTTATTGGTATAGTATAAAAACAAATGGAATAGCACCCTCCGTACAGTAGTAAAAAATGCGAGAACTAAAACGTATAAATATATAGAATATACTTAAATATGTCAACGTCCTGTCTTTTAATCATTCTTTTAGTAAATAGCACTTGCATGCTCAATGATTTCCTAATCGTTCCTCAAGTAATTGAAAATTGATTTAAAGGGTCCAATCAAACTGTAAGTTGCGTAAACGACCAATAGGATAACCAAAGCCACCCACCCTCTTCCCCTTCCGCCCATTAAATATTCTAAACCATAGCAAAGGCAGGCAACTCCAAGTGCGTAAGTGGTGATTCCAAGGAAAATGTGGCATAGTTTTACCACTCTTGGACTTATTGACGTATTTCTAAAATACATAGAAAATACACCTCCAAGTACTGCGATGAAACTGAGTATCCATGCAATTAAACCTGTAAATAAAAATTCTGGTTAGATCGATTCTGAAATTACATTAGTCTTGTATAAAACATTTTATGAAATTGGTATGATTTTATGGTAAAGTGTTATACGATTGTTATACATATTATATATTATTTATTAAGAATGATGTATTGCTCTAATAAAAATTGGGTTGGTACCACTTTAAACAACGACGTAGCTAGGAGGTTGTCCAAGGTATCCGGACAACTCCCGAAATACCAAATTGGGATCATTTTAAAATTCAATAAGTATATAAAAAATATTTAATTGGACAATTTCTCTTTTAAATTTAACAAATATTTTGATTTTTCTGAATATATTATTGCGAAGATGCAAATCGATGCAAATCGAATTACTATTATGCAAACACTATTTGTTCACATACTATTCACATAAACTTTTATGAGGAAATATTGTCTCTTAAACTATTTTAAACATAGTCCTGATACTGAGTCTGTTATACACTTATAACTCTTTTTGTTTTAATATTTTACATACATAAATAGTAAAAATAAATGATAATTTTTAAAAATTATAAAAGTTTGAAATATCCAAGCCAAATAAACATCAATCATTTCATATATTCACACTTTAATGCTGCAAAGCTTCCATGCCACAGTCAAGGAAGAAAAAAATCTGAAAAAATGATAAATAGGTATTTAAATATTTTAAAAGGTTTATGAGGGGTAGCTGATGGTAATTCCATGAAGACGTATAACTAATTTTGCCTTCTTTTTTAATAAACAATTGTAAAAAGCAGAAAAAAAAATTTTTGCTTAAAAAGTGTTGTTCTGAAGCTATTTTCTTGTGGCATTTTAAATTAATTACTATTTAACTGAGAATAAGCCCCAATTAAAGATTAAAATACGTTTATTGACGTTTCAATTTCCACTTCGGAAATCGTTCTCAAAATACAAAATCGTTTGTATTTTGAGAACGATTTCCGAAGTGGAAATTGAAACGTCAATAAACGTATTTTTATCTTTAATTGTGGCTTATTCCCAGTTAAATAGTAATTAAGTTAAAAAGTGTTTTTTATAAATTTTAGAAAAAAATGTTTAAATAAATGTTGTAGATCAAAAAGGTATTTCATTTTGAGAGTTTGTAACGTTATAAACGTCACATCTTTAATAATTTATATTTAAATAAATATCTAATTTTAATGTCTCTATTAATTTATTAATTCCTGAACCTTCAGTTTCTTTCTTACTATTTTTTTTCAAAAAAATAGTTGGCGCCCTCTCTTTTTCTGTTCGGTAGACTAAATAGTTTGTTCTATGTTGACAGAAGAGCTAATTCCATCATACGCATACGTCCTATGGCGTCTGTGCTATACCACAGAATATTAAACAATTAGAATGCCCACTCTCATAGCCTATAACAATTACATAACCTCACAAATCATATGTCTGTGTTATGTGTTTCCTTCTAAAACATGGCGCGCGTGCTGAAAAACTTCAAAGGCGGAATCTGAGAGTGGGCATTCTGATTGTTTATTATTCTGTGGCTATACCTTATTGTAGTCACCCCCTACTTTCTGTCAATCAGCTTTTCTAACGTGTTGGAAATATTCTTTTTTGTCTGTAATTGGAATTTATAAAAGAAGGTGAGAATTATTATAAGGTTCATTTTATAGTCTGCAGAAATCTCTTAGGGTGAGTATTTTCACTGTAATCTATATTCTATAATTTTGACAGCATTTTCAATATTCATAGCCTCACTTTAGTGTCTCGCCTTTAATGCCTTGCTAATACTGATGTTATATTCTAGTTTATTGGATAATTTCTGTAGTATTTATGGAATGTTTTATGAAATAGTTTGAATGATTTATGGAATTTATGGAATAATGTAGAACTAAATAACTTCAGCTGTTTATAAGACCTACCCACACGCTCTGGATGCACCAACAGGATCTACTCATTATTACATACATTATAGGGCAAAATTTACAATTAGTGTCCCAACAAATAATGTCTAGGGCAATAATTTTGAAATAATTGAAGCCATTATTGAGACATTTGCAAATAAAATCAAATTTCCTAACTCCATTAAAGTGAAAAATACCAAAAAAATAAGATTTATACGATACGGTTATATAATATACGACACGATGTTTACATATAAATAAACCGCTAACTCTAACCTAAATTTTGAACGCTTTTACCGATTAGTTGTATCTCTTTCTAACCAATGGGTCCAATTATCAAGCGACGTGTGTCTCTCTCTAAAACAACACGTCTGAAGGTGTTGAGTGGAAGCGAGGCCACAGCTACAAATAAGTTGATACAAAATGACAAATGACACCTTGAAATTGAAGACAGAGTACGACACGTATCGTTTTTTGGCGACTATTGATATCAACATAACACAGGGTTTACCTACTGATTCGAGAAGACATTGCCAAACAGGATACGAAATTGTAACTGCGCATGCGTGTGTACTAATAATTGGTATCAAAATGGGACATGTTCTAATTTCTGTAACATTTTTTATTAACAAATTTTGTTTTCTGTTTTACATTATGACAAAACTTAGGACAGCATTTTCTTATACCATTTTATCTTATAGTCTAAAACAGACTCAAGACAAGACGGATTCACACTTGTGAGATTGAGCTAGGCGAAGCACAGACGACAAACTCCCATGGTTGATTGGGGTATTATTTTATAATACTTATTCAATTCTCTTTGGTAGTCTTATCGTTTCAAGTTTCTGAATTAAAATAGATAGACAATTGACTGAGATAATTGAAAAAAACCTTATTTTGCAGTAATATATAATTGGTAAAAACTTTCTGTTTTGCATAATGGCATGAAACATAACCCTCGAGATTGTGGCAACTAATCAATTATTCAAGTGGGCTAAATTTCAAAGATATCGACAAAATAGTTTATAAGTTATTCAGTTTGTTTATCTTGGGGAGTGAATATTTAAACAACTGTAATCGCCAAACAGTCACTCTATAGGAATGTAATTTAAATCACAGTCAATTCTTTGTATAGTCCTTACGTTCAGTCGTGATAGCCAGCGTAAACAAGTAGGCGTGGTCTATTGTTTCAGGACTGGACTTGTTTTCGGTGATGTTCTGTCTACGTTCATTTTACGTTCATATCATTTTTAATACGTTTGTAATTCTTTAATACTTCCCAATTTTGTATTGTTTAAAAACGGCTTTCAAAAAGATAGGGAAAATGATTATTTTTGAAATTCTTAGTATGCTATACTATAGAAATAATCTAAACAAGATGTTCCGGCCAGTCTTAGCGAATTTGAATAACATTAAAGTAATACCTACCTTAAAAGGTTTGCAGGTATAATAATAAACTATAATCTTTTAACAACAGGGCAATATCTTAACCATAATAAAAGTATTTTAATTTGAATATTTCTTATGTAGCATTCTGTGAATTTTTATAGATAATAATTTTATGGTATTTCCTAAAACTTAAGATCGTTGGTGGTCAATGTCTTCATTTAACAATGAACATCGCGCATCCCTATTCAGTATCAGTCGAGTAGTTTCGCGTTAACGTTTATTTCTGTATCTCGATCTAAAAATGAACTATTTGTGTTTATAATAATTATTTGTTTGCTAATTTAAAGTTTATGTGGTAGTTTTTTAGTTTTATTAAGACTTTTCAAAGTTGTGCGTTCTAATTTTTAATTTAAAATAGTAGTTTTTTAGTTTTATTAAGTCCAAGTTTGTGCGTTCTAATTTTTAAGTTAAAATGTCCAGTTCTACCGATTCTGCGGAGGAAGTTACACCAAAAAAGCGATCAAAAATGCGTCCTTTTAGTAGTACTGAAAAAAGTGTTATTTATAATGTTTATACATCGACAATAGAATCGCATCCAGAAGCTTTGGTATCGGAAATAGTGAAACAGACAGCTATTTCTTGTGGCGTAGGTGAAGCTTCTGTGTACAGAATTCTTAAAGAGCAGAAGAATACCGGAACATTTTCTTCCCCGAAAAAGACTAAGCCCAGGAAAACTATATTGGACAAAATTGATGATGCCGATAAATCGGCCATACGACGAATTGTGCATCAATTTTTTTTTAAAAACGAAATACCTACTATACACAAAGTTCTTTCAGTTGTTAATGAGGACGAAAGCTTGCCGAATTTTAAAAGCACTACATTTTATAAACTCCTCAAATCACTTGATTTTAAATACGTACGGAGGGGCAGAAATAGTGCTTTGTTAGATCGAGACGACATCATCTTGTGGAGACGAAATTTCTTAAAATCCATAAAAAAATTTCGGGAACAAAATAGAAAAATTTACTATTTAGACGAAACATGGGTAAATTCAGGACACACAAAATCCCATGTTTGGGTTGACGAAACGGTGAAATCTTCCATGCAGGCATTTTTGTCTGGTTTTTCAACAGGTCTTAAAAATCCATCGGGCAAGGGAAAAAGACTTATTATTACCCACATAGGGAGTGAAACAGGATTTGTAGAAGATTGTTTATGGATGTTTGACTCAAAAAGAGCGGCGATTATCATGAAGAGATGAACGCTGAGAGCTTCGAAAGGTGGTTTGCAAGTACATTGCCTCGGTTAGAAGATAATTGTGTGATAGTTCTTGATAATGCCTCTTATCATTCCCGGAAAATTGAAAAGATACCCACAACATCATGGAATAAACAAAAAATAAAACAATGGCTACAGTCAAAAGACATTTATTTCGATGATGATATGTTAAAAGTGGAACTTTTACAATTAGTGGCCCCCCTTAAGGCAAAGTTCAATAAATGTGTCGTAGACGAAATGGCAAGAGAACAAAATAAAACCGTGTTACGTTTACCACCATACCATTGTGAGCTCAATCCAATTGAGCTCATATGGGCTGACGCTAAAAATTTTGTTGCTGCTAATAACAAAACTTTCAAGTTCGCAGATGTAAAAAACCTTTTTGATGAAGCTGTTAACAACATCACCCCAGAAAAATGGAAAAATTGTGTGGATCACGTTAAGAATATAGTGGAAAAAAAGTTCTGGGAGCTGGATAATATTATGGAGGTTATAGTGGAACCAGTAATTATAGAAGTTGGTCCTAATAGTGAGAGTGACATATGCAGTTATTCCTCATCGGAGTAAAAATACTGATTGTATTTTTACAACAACTTATCAGCATCAACACTGACATAAAAATTTGCGAATAAACTCAGAGTTACACAACGAGCCATGGAACGTGCAATGCCTTCGAGACCACATAACAAACCAACAAATCAGGTAAAGATCAGGAGTTCACGACGTCATTGAAAGAACTACTAAGCTTACGTATCATGGAATGACGAATCATGGAATGGAGGCCCAGAAACTATAATAAAAGAATCCCAGGACGACCACCCAGGACATCCCAGAATTATATAAAAGAATCCCAGGACAACCACCGACTAGATGGACAAGTAGCCCAGTGAAGTGAACACTGGAAGGAATTGAGGGGTACCTATGTCCAGCAGTGGACGCAATTGGCTGATTGATGATCAACATCAAGGAACTAACCACATAAAGTAAGTACTGATATAAATTTAGGCAGCCATTTTGATTTATTCTTCTGAAATTGAAATATTTGAGATCACTTAGTAGTATTGGCTGAATTTTTGGTTTAGCTTTGATAAATATCTATATAACTTTAGAAACTTGCTTAGGAATAATTAATATTTTTAAATGCCAAACCACATTTTATTTATTTCACACACTCTTACAAATTTTGTTAACTTTAAAATGGATAATATAGACGCTCTTTATACTTTATATTAATGTTTATTATTATTTTACCATATTTTTCTGACAACCTGAATGACCTCTTTTTTTCACTTATTTTCTTTTATATTGTAAGGGTTCTGTCACATAAATGTCGCTCATTAAATATTTTTCATTTACAAACAAATCCCTATTTCTAATATCATTTAATTTTCTTTGAATATATTAATAAATACCTTGTTTATTATTATTTTATTAATGAATATTTAAATTAATCTTTCATTTCTAATCTGAAAGTGTAAAACTCAATCACAATCAAAAATCTATAATTTTCATACAATTAAAAGGTTTAATCAACTAAATGTCACATTATGTGACATTTTTAAAATAACAATAAATTCAACATTATAATTAAAACTTTAAACATTTCAAAACTGCCAAAAACCCATCCTAAAAAATTCTTGCCTTTCCTAGTATATTACTTAAGCTAAAAATTTGACGTAGTTTCAAGTGTTATGTAAAAAACATATTAATCGTGTCAGAGTACACCCCTGAAGAGGGTGGAGCGGTCAGAACCTTCAACCAGTTAAAATATTCGTATCCCTATACAAGGCCTATTTATTTGTTTTGGTGCACTATCTCGACTCGGTGAAGATACTTTAGCTTCATTTTTAAGGTATATTAAAAAAACTTTACCATGTAAAATAAATACGCTTGTAAGTAGGCTCAATGAAAAACTGGTGAAACACACATCTTCCAAAAAAAAACAGAATCTTCTATCATCATTAACAAAATGCAAGCCGAGATTATTTTTACTACTTTACTGTCTATGCCATCTATATCTTGGATCATAAAATATAGATCTTTATTATGAATCTGTCCAATTTTAAGCTCTTAATATTAATATACAATGGAAACATGATTTTAAAAAATGCTATCTTGTTTTCTATTGTTTCTGAAAGTTTCTTTTTTCACTAGATTTTCATTGAGCCTGTTACAAGCGTGTGAAATAGAAAATGTCAGAAGTTATTATAAATGAACTTTGATCAAGTAAAAGGCAAATATTGAGCACAGTTTAATTATAAGTATCTTGCCAAGTACTTTCGATCCCTAGATCATCTTCGGGGGCATTTTGTCAATTGCGACCTATCCGACTTTTACCCCTGGACTTCACCTTAAAGCCATCCTCGCAGGAGGGTAAAAACAAAATTGTATTTTTAAATCAGAGCAGCAAAAATAAATTCAGTTATTAATTTGCTGGCATCAAAATGGCTATTAGGCTGTTATGATTATGTAACTATTGTAGCTAAATAAAATGTAATATTTAAATAAGTTTCAAGATCTCGATATATTTTAAAAAATTATATTAATATTAAAGTTGACTTACCTAAAACTCCATGCGTTGAAGAAAAATGTTCCAGATTGAAATCTTCTTTCTGGCTAATTTTTAGTGAGATACCAATAGTTATGCAGATAAAAGCAAATGCCATAACTATCATGTGGGCCATTTTCTTTTCTTCCCTAGTGTGGCCAAATGTAACTACACTCTCATGCCTAAATATTTGTACACCTTCTGCCATACATAAAGCGAACTAAAACAAAAATTATGTTAGTTTTAACAACTTATCCTGTGGGTTTGTAAATATATTCTGCATATCGATGATAATGTAACTAAAGTTTATGCCTGGCTACTCATTGTGTGTAATTTATAGCTGTTTATTCTGATTTTTATATGAAAAAAGAAACCCTACCCATTATAGGCCAGCGTCATATTAATAGATCACTGAAAATTGTATTTATTTTTAACCCTTAAACTTTGTTTAAATTAAACAAAAATGTTCCATTAATATTTTAGGCAGTAGTAAATTAAATGATAATTTGTGTTGTATTATATTTTCAATATTCTTTCAATAAAAAAAATTAACATTGGTTAAAGGATCCCACAACTCTCCTATTGTATTGTTCTGAAGCTATTTTCTTGTGGCATTTTAAATTAATTACTATTTAACTGGGAATAAGTATTTAACTGAGAATAAAATACGTTTATTTTGACGTTTCAATTTCTACTTCGGAAATCGTTCTCAAAATATAAACAGTAAATTAAACAAATTTTGTTTTTTTGTTACTTAGTGAAAAATTCTTCTAATAATTTAATTTTATCTGACTCATTTATATTGACAATTCAGACATACATTATGCATTTTAAAGTAGACGACTTTAAAATGATATTGCCAATATAGTTGAGTTGCACTTCTGAGACGACATTACTTATAAGATAGTTCATTCGATTACATGAAGTCAACTTTACTTAAGAATATCCGTCAGAAAAAATCGTAGCATGTAATTCGTCTTTAACCCTAGAACACTAACCATTCGTAAAATATACGAACGCCGATTGATTTCTTAAGAATTGGCAAACTTGCATGAATTTTGGAAGCATAGGTATATGAGTAGCTTCGTTATTCAGTCTGCCTAGGACATTCACGGTGTAGTTGTCTTTTTTTGTGCAGTCGTTACCCGCAAGATCTCAGTTGCTTCGTAAATTTTACGAAAGGTTAGTGTTAACGTAAGTTTTTTTATTTTGGTATTATTATTTTCTTTTGTCATTTACAGACAATTTAATTAAAAAATGGCTAAAAAATTTGAAAATAAAAGGCCCTTAACCAATTAGAATTGGAAGCCGAAAAAATATTGATGGGTGAATTTGATGATGAGAGTCTACAATCAACTGAAGAAACTTCTAGTTATTCAGAAAGTGAAGACAGAGTACAAAATTTCAGCCCGTCTGAATCTGAGTACGAGCCAGAATTTTCTGGTGACGAAAGCCGCGATTTTGAGCATAGCAGTCCTAAAACGAAAACAAGAAAGTCTAATAACTGCTCTACCTCTGTTTCTATGCCTAGTAGTTCATGTAGAGTTCAATATGAGATTTCTTCTGTGAAAACCGGCATTCAACAAGAACATTTATTTCAACAAATTATAACTCAGCCTCATCAAAACGAAAAAGGTAATCAAGAAGTGTGTTTTCAACAAGTGGAAGAGCGAGAAACCGAAGACATTGTGGACGAATCTGATCCTCATACTTCCAATTGGACTACAAGTCTCAAAGGCAAAAATGGCCATGGCTGGTGTACTGTATCTAATCTTCGGAAACGTACCACCAAAAGGAATATTTTGCATATTGTTTAAGGGCTATCTGGACAGGCAAAAGATGCAATACACCATTAGATGTATTTCAGTGTTTGATGAATGATTCTATGTACGAAAAAATTCGGTTGCACACCAATACTCAAATCAGACTAAAATCTAAAAATTTTAAAGATGCTAAACATACTCATTCTCTCGTAACAAGAGATGAATTAAATGCTCTTGTTGGACTACTTATATTTTCTGGAGCACAAAAAGATCATCATCTTCACAGTAGAGAGATGTTTGATTCCAAAATGTCTGGCTCCATTTATAGAGCAACAATAAGCTGCGAAAGATTTGATTTTCTTCTACATAATCTTAGGTTCGATAATAAAGCCACAAGAACTGAAAGAAGAAATTTAGATAGGTTTGCCCCTATTCGAGAAATATGGGATGAATTTATTTTTAATTGTAAAGAGTCTTATCGACCAGGTAGCTATAATATAACTATTGACGAGCAGTTATTAGCTTTTAGGAGCCGGTGCCCTTTCAGGATGTATATCCCGAATAAGCCGGCCAAGTACGGAATTAAAATTGTGATGACTTGCGACGCGGGTACCAAGTACATGTTGAACGCAGACCCTTATCTCGGCAAACATACGCACACAAATGGGGAATGTCTAGGAGAATACTATGTTAAAAAGTTGACTGAAACTATTTACGGAAGTTACCGAAACGTCACAATGGACAATTGGTTCACTTCAGTAAACCTTGCTGATACTCTTTTGAAGCCTTCTTACAACCTTACAATTATTGGTACTTTGCGGCAAAATAAACGAAAGATACCTTCTAAAATGATTAATCTTAAAAACAGAGAAATCGGAAATTCAAAATTTTGCTTTGACCGAGAGAAGACGTTAGTGTCCTATAAATCCAAAAAGAACAAAACCGTTCTAGTATTGTCAACAATGCACGAAGGCTCAGTTGTTTGTCCAACTACTAAAAAACCCGAAATAATATTGCACTATAACCAAACAAAGGGTGGTGTGGACACTTTTGACCAAATGTGTGGCCATCGAAGTTGCTCCCGAAAAACTCGAAGATGGCCAATGTGTACATTCTATGGTATGATCAATATAGCTGTACAAACTCTTGAATTTTATATAATCATAATTTATCAAGAAATAATCAGGAGCCAATAACAAGAAAGGCTTTTATGTTAAATCTCCATCAAGAACTCACAAGATTATGGCTTGAAAAGCGTTTTGCGATGCCGATTTTGCAACGCTCGGTAAAGCTTCTGATTAGTGATTTAATTAAAATTCCTTTGGAAGTTACTGAGGACAATCAACCTTCTAACAAACGTACTACATATTACATCTGTCCTTCCAAAAAAAGAAGAATGACGTTATTTCATTGCAATCACTGCAAACGAGCATTTTGCGCAGAACACCGTGCTCGTTGTTGCGTTACCTGTGACGTAGATGCATAAATTTTGAATTTTTTCTGTACAATTTAGATATAAAAATGTTCCTTTGTTCCTTTAAAAAATTAATTAAAATATCATCTTAATTTTTTGAATGAGTTGAAAAAAAAATTGTAAATATCACGAATGGTTAGTGTCTACGGGAGTGGAAATTAAGGTTAGTGTTCTAGGGTTAAAAAGACAAACACATGCCATGATGACAATAAAATTCTCCTGTTGGTGATTCCATAGTAAATTATGAGGAAAAAACCAGGAAAAAACCTCATAATACTATCCCGACATGGTAAGTATTTGGTCGTGCATTTAGTTTACCTTCAATAAACACCAAACTCCATTCTTATATGCTTGTTATTTAAAAAACATAAATGATGTATCCTCTATAATATGTTACTGACTTACTAATACTGGTATTTTCTTATTAATAACTTTCTTTCAATATAGGTAACCAGATCCTACTACATTCTGAGAACGATTTCCGAGGTGGAAATTGAAACATCAAAATAAACGTATTTTAACCTTTAATTGTGGCTTATTCCCAGTTAAATAGTAATTTATCCTTATCAGGTTAAGCGCCAAGGATTTTTCCCCTGGACCAAAGCAATATTAAATATTGCAGCATTTATTGAGCAATATTGTAAATATTGCAGCGTCTGTGAGTAATATTGCGCAATATTGGTTCAGTTTCGTCTTGACACTCTTGTTGCAAACATCACGGTACGGTAAAAAATATGTCTGCAAAGGGAAAATGCGAAGAAAGAATGTTTATTATAGAGTCCATCGATATGTATCGGTCGTTACCGGCTTTGTGGAATGTCAAGAGTAAAATATTATAGTAATTAAAATTAAAAAAATTATCAATTGCTCCAAAAATACAGAGAATATTATCCAGATGATGATAAGTTGCAGTTAGTGAAAAAATTCAATTCATTAATAGTACATCAAAGAATTTACTATCTAGTCGCAGAAAGTTTTGAAAATCACTTGGTTCGCTAATTCTTAAATCATTTAATAAATTTTCATGGGTGTACTTATTTCTTTTTTAAACCATTCTTTTATCCACCTGCCTTTATGTTTTTTTCGTCCCTTGTGAAGCTATAGCTAATGCAACAGCCACACAACTCGCCGTTTTTCTATTCCACATGTTGATAGCACAAGTTTCATTCGGGAACTAATTTATTTTACAATAATATTAATTCGTCTGTGTTGGTCTACTAAATCATTGTGCAATATGTAGTACAATAATATTGATGCTAATATTGACTATCTAGGGGCCGCTTCCCCTAGCAGAAGCAGAAGTAGAGAAAGCCATCAAACAAAGCAAAAATGGGAAATCTCCTGGCCCGGACCAAATACCATCAGACTGGCTCAAACTTTTAGACGATGACAATGTCTCAGAGCTAACAAACATTTATAACCATATATACGAAACTGGAACACTGCCATAAATATGGTTGGAGTCTACATTTATCCCATTTCCAAAAAAACCTAATATATCATCATGTAAAGACTTTAGACTAATTAGCCTCATGAGCCACTCTCTCAAGCTACTTCTTAGGATAATTCTTAATAGAATCAAGCAGAAATGTGAAGACATAATGGGAAATAAACAATTCGGTTTCAGAGAGGGATTGGGGACCAGGGAAGCTTTGTTCTCAATGCTAACACTACTTCAACTATCATGGGAAGTACAGAAACCAATTTACGTCTATTTTATAGATTTTGAGAAGGCGTTTGATAGGGTTCAACATGGTAGGCTGTTTGAATATTTGGAAAAAATTGGAATAGATGATAAAGATCTGAGACTTTTACAACATCTATATTGGAATCAAGAAGCTTCTATTCTGGTAGACGGCAAAGAAATAGACAAAATTTGTATTTAAAGAGGTGTTAGACAGGGTTGTGTATTGTCCCCAACTTTGTTTAACATTTACTCAGAAATAATTTTTAACCAAGCCTTGGAAGGGCAAAGTGGAGTTC